TTCACTGCAACATACATATTTATAATTTGTAAGGTACATTATTCTAAAGTGCAATGTACATTATTTTAACTCATAAAGCACATTATTTTTTTACAGAAGTTTCATTGTTTTAACACATCATGTACATTATTCTAACACATAATGTAAATTATTCAAATTTATAAAATTCATCGATGTCGTTCTCGACAGTGATCCATATAACTGTGTGGACAATAATTTGCGGTGGGACCTCATATTTATCTTTACGCATCTAGTCAGCTGTATGCTGCATTAGGTTTAAACTTTTGGGAATTTTGAACCGTTGAGTTGACCCGGCTTCTGATTGGAAACTGGAAAGTGAAGAGTCAACAAACCAGAATGGGACCACCAGCTTTAACAATATTGACGTCCAATTTTGTAAAAAAAATGGTACAAGTAAAATGGGTAGTCATTCAATCACTATAAGAATTTGTTTCTTTATATATTTAATAGTGTGGTGGACTCAGTCTTCAATGATCAATTTATTAATTCTCTTAAGGATGTGAATGTATCTTTTAGAGCATTTGCATCCTCAAAAAATTACACTGTGGATAACATGTTGTTACAATTATATTTATTTAATGTTCGCGTGGGCAGCTCTATAGGTGAAAATTGTAAAGAATGATTAGGGATTGAATTTCACCAGCGGTAATGATGGGGGCTCTTTGTGCGCAAAATATTATTATTATTATTATTATTATTATTATTGAAATTAATTAATTAAGGTCCGGATAAATGATAAATTAAAAATAAAGTGTAAAGACAATATATTTGGCCTCAAAAGACAAAGAACCTTGTATTGAGATAATTTGCAAGAAGATTACAAGTAGATGATAATGATGTCCTAATTAGATATGCTAAACTCATCTCGTAACCGACCCCCAAAAAAAGGTGGGCAGTTAGGGCTCTTTGACTAAATTTGCTTGCACGGCCCGTGCCCGTGCTCAGCCCCGTGGCCCCCGTGTGATATTATTATTATTAGTATTATTATTATTATTATTATTATTATTATAATTGAAGGAATTAATTAATTAAGGTCCGGATAAATGATAAAAATAAAGCGTAAGGACAATATATTTGGCCTCAGAAGACAACAAACCTTGAATTGAGATAATTTGTAAGAAGATTACAAGTAAATGATAATGATGTCCTAACTAGATATGCTAAACTCATCTCGTAACCGCCCCCAAAAAAAGGGTGGGCAATTAGGGCCCTTTGACTAAATTTGCTTGCATCGCCCGTGCCCGGCCCCGTGTGATAATATGACAATAAGATTTAATTTTGAAAAGTAAAAGAGTGTTGTAAAAATGTGAATAGTACGTCTTACTTGTCAAGAACAATGGGTTTGTAAAGAGTTAAAAATCTTTTATTACTCCAAGCAACTAATCTTATGGCAATTATTCTATTTTTACATAGCAATTCTATCTATTTTCAACTGATCGTGTTGGCTAGTTGACGACTACCTAAGTTGTAAAACCAACAACCTCATATCACCACATTTGCAATTACAATTCACAATTTTTTTTTTTTTTTTGTTTTTGTTTTTTTTTTTTGTTTTTTGTTTTGTTTACATCTTTGCAATTCTATCTTAGTCCCAAAACATAATAAAATAATAATAATAAAATAATAATAATAATAATAATAATAATAATAATAATAATAATAATAATAATAATAATAATAATAATTCAATCAACTAGAAAATAACAAATTAAATATTCAGTGAATTTACAAATATTTACTTTGTCTGGTTTACAATTTTATTATAGTGATCCTGGAGAGTGGAGACACGATAGCATGGCCTTGATGCCAAAAGGGTCTCTGGTTATTAGCCTCTTCAATTCATCGGTTACAATCTGAGAAAATAACAAATTAAATAGAAAGTGGATTTACAAATATTTAATTACTTTGTTTAGTTTACAATTTTATTATAGTGGTCTCGGAGAGTGTAGACACGATAGCATGACTTCGATGCCAAAAGGCTTCCTAGTTATTAGCCTCTTCAATTCATCGGTTACAATCTGACATGCACCAAGAATTTTACCTTTTAAATTCTTGATGTGGAATAAAAATACGAGACTAAAAATTAGAGTGCATGTAATAGAAACTCTTCCAAATTAAAACAACTCTCTTATATACTACATTATCAAATATCTAAACCTTTTTTGCGCTTGCCGCCCATGTCATCATGAGTGGGCCATAGTCTCTCAATGGATTCATCAAATTGGGTAACTCAATGGCATAGAGTTAGGCAGGAGTATATAAGGTGAAAAATTAATTGCTTGGGTTAGGGACGTGATGTCATGGGCTAATTAAGGAGGTGAGGTCAAGGGTTAGAGGGGAGATGATTGGCAGGGGAAGGGGATGCCTTGTACTCAGACTATTATATATTTTTATTGAGACTCGATTGTGTATTAATATTATGTAAGCCCAGTGTCTAATGAGTGACGAGGAAAATGTACATTCATTAATTAAAGGTATGCATGGAGTAAATTATGCCTTATAATCCTAGCAGAATTAAGAAAAAGCGTAAAGAGATAAAGTAGCCTAAATTATTCATAATTGACGAATTCAAATAAAAAAGTTGAATATAAAATAGTTAACTTATTTAGTATTAGATAGATGATAGATAATACCAATATAGTAGCAGTATATATTATTGACCAAAGTCAATGTGACATATTAATTCTTAATTAACACCTTTGAAATAATTTAATACTTAGGACCTATTTAATTCAAATTTTCATTATAACATTATAAATAAAACAAATTCAGAATTTTGAGTGATTATATTTTTAGACACGAATATTTAAAATATTTTTAGATGTGTTTTGTTTGAGTGAAATATATATAATTTTTTACTTTGGTGTCTAGCATTTGTGAAATTAAATTTTAATATCAAGTACCCAAGCACATGGATAAACATAACGGAAAACATCAAAACTAATGGCGTGGTTTGGTTCATGGGTTTACGTACTAGGAATTAGAATTAAAATCATAATTAGTTTTTAGTAGATAATTTGTTAGAATATAAGTATGTGATTTGATTACCTTTTCAATTAAAAACATCATATCATTCCCTAATTAAAGATGAGTATCATTTTATTTTATTAGTAATATAATTTTTAAGTTTTGATTATTGCTTTTAGATTTTTGTTTTGATTTTTTTTTTTATATTGGTGTTTTGAATGTCATTATATTAGAATCAATTGCCTTATTATTCTCATCATAAGGTTATACATAACTAAACGTCAATATTGATAATCATTCCAATTTCACAGTACTACTAAACATGCAAAATACTTTGAGAAAAAGAGGTTGAAAAGGAGATACGAACACCACATGTTTGATGAAATGTTTCAATGGCCTTAAGTCACCATGAGAGTGGGGCTTGAAGCTAATTGATAGTCTGATCTAACGACCACGAGAGTGATGTTGGCACCTAGTAGCATCTCCCTAGTTCCATTGTTAATGCATTACATGATCTCTAACCAATAATACACTATATCATCTACACTTTAGATACCTAGCTAGTCCAAAGCCTTAGTGGATCTATTACTATTGATTGTTAATTGTTGCTTGATCTTTCATTACAATTTGATTGTCATTTCCTTTATTTTGCTCTTATCACATGAATCCCGTGCTTCCTTTGAACAGCTTCTAAACGGCATCTATCACCTTGTTCGCCCATGAGACAACTTTTGCTCTGATCTCCTTTTATCTCCAAAGTTTCCCTTAATTCCAATTTCATACAAAATGCACTAAAAATCATTCAGTTCATTTCATTCATCAAGAGTTATACCTAAACACACAAATGAATTAAAGAATGAACACTTTGGCAAAATTATAACAAATGAAAAATAAAATAAGTTTAAATGCAATGTGAAAATATGAATAATTATGTACTTCTCAATAATTAAGAGAAAATGGTAATGGATATGTAATCATAATAGTGTATAAATATGTAAGTATATGAGAGTGAGAATGAGGTAGTTAGGTATATGGCAGGAGAAAGATAGATAGGTGGTAGGGGTTTAAATAGTTTTCATTTAGAGAACAATTATGTATAAAAAAGTTTACATTCAAAAAAAAAAAAAAATGTATAAAAAAGTTTTTTCGTGTCAAATAAAAAAAAAAAAGTGTTTTTCTAATTTTCAGAATGAAAAATTATGCAAATCAACATATATATTTTTTTGTTTTCCATGTACTAAAAAAAAAATTCTAATTAGTAAACATTGGTTTATATGTTCCTCTTAGTCTCAACTCTAGGATAATATTTTTTACTATTTTTTTTCGAGAATCGCCTAAAGTTCAAACTAAAAAGTAAAATGATTTTTTATTATCTCAGTTGAAGTAATGAGCCTCCCGATATTAGGGGCTCATTACTTCACCTAGTTTGTTGAGAAGGTTGCCCAAAAGTGGTATATAATGCGTACACAGTAAAACTTACAAATAAACCGGATAGAAAGATGGTAATTAGGGTTGCTGTTTCCATTTTCTTTTTATTTTAGAAATGCTAAGATTGTTTATTACAAGCTCCCTGATCATTATTATTATTCTTTTAAGAATAATTTTGCTATAGGCCGAGATGTTTATAAGAATTGAATTGATGACCTTTTGATACAAAAATTATATATATTCCACCCCTTCAACCATTATTATACTCTTTTCAGGGCTCTTTTAAGTGTTATTTAGAGATTAGGGAAATGGATTGTGAAGTTGCTAAAATAGAACATGGGGAAATTTTGTGAATTGTACAGTAATTCTTATAATTTCTTCTCAAAAAAAAAAAATGTTGACTTCACCATACAAGCTAGCTACCTGTCCCGGCCACCCTCTTCTTTTCAGGATTGCAATAAGTAATAAATGGCTATATAGCTTCTGTATTTAATGCACTCACCATCTTCTGGTCTTCAAAGCATTTACTCCTTAGATCACTGCCTCTGATCTTTTCTTCATCCGTTCCCTTTTTTACTCTCCCAACCTCCCTTCTTTTCTTAATTTCTCCATCTCATTCTCTTTCTTTATTCTCCTATAAATACCTTCCACCATTATTTCACTACTAATCCATCCTATTCACTTCATCAATCTTATGCATAAGTTATCAAAGAGGCATCATATATACTCCGATCCATACTTCAGTTCAGTAAACACAGTACATTTTTGTTGCATACAAATAAGCTAAGTCATCCTTAGCAATGTGCTTGAGATTTTTATAGGAAATTTTGCTTGTGCATAAGCCTGGAAAGCTTCTGAACCCCAAAAACAAGGTAAAATTCTAGTAGTTTTTTTTTTTTTTTTTGACTTCATTAAGTTTAAAGGATTTAAGGTTTTTCTTTTTTACGGCAGAAAATGTCAGATGAAATGATGATGATTCCGGTGAGTCGTCTGTCGTCAATGGTTACAAATTACAATGGATATGATGCCGGTTTTGCTTCTTCTTCAGGGTTTTCTGTTGGTCAGGTGACTCTAGTCAACTCTTTAATACACTTTTCTCTCTCTCTCTGGAAGTAATGGATGTTTAATTTGCGTAAGCATTCATGGAGCTTGGTGGGATTTCTGGGCCACCTCTCTATAACTTAACCTGTCATCAATGATGATATATATGATCGATCTCCATTTTCTATGAGCGCATGACATATATATTTCAACATTTAAAACTTTTCTCCTCTTTTCAATAAAATGGCTTCCATTCTCCATTCCCTTCCAGAAAGGAAAAAATTTATGATTCCCTAACCTCTTTCATTCCCATGAAATATGGTTTCTATTCTCCGTGAATCAAAATTGTTGTGAGAGCTAGTAGTGTGATGACTTTTTATAGTTTGTATACATGATAGAGTATCTGGTAGCCTGGGCAATATAGATCAAATCTTTATATATATAGTTCAAATCTGAAAAATAAGAGTCATATATGTTCCTACCGACGGGAAAATAAGGAAAAAAAATTCAAAAAAAAAAAAATAATAAAAATATTGGAGTGGTGCAGTGCACGTGCATATTAGGTGCGACTAGCTAGTACGCGTAATACGTGTCAATTTTTTTTTCTTACGGAACCCTAAACTCTAACGAAATATAGATAGTGCATTGATTTTATTTATATAATGAGATATGGTATTTGTCCCAAAAAAGTAATTGTCCTTCAATTAATATTTGGATCTCAAAAAAGTTAATAATTTTCATAAATACAACAACATCTACAATTCTATCATTCAATACATCCTTTATATGTTGTAAATGTGTGTACGAGGGAATATAAATTTGTGTATGTCCCCTATCTAATACTCTAATCTAATCAAATCAATCTTAACTTTACTCAAAAACAAAAAATTGTCACAGCCAAATCATGAAGAAGGTCCGCACCCGTTACCGGAGATCCTTTCAAACACGTCGGAAGGACGACTAATGCAGCTGCCGACGGCGGCCAACTTCGGCAACAATGACGACGACGAAGATAACTCCGTTAATGATGAAGGCGCGAATCAACAGTCTACCAAACGGCCGAAGCCTTACCACCGTCACACTCAGCACCAAATCCAAGAACTGGAAGCGTAAGCCAAAAGAAAAAGAAAAAAAATTGTTGGGTTTATCTGTTTATCATTTTTCATTATTTATTTGTTTATTTATCATTTTGTTGGTTTAATATAAATAGGTTTTTTAAGGAGTGTCCTCACCCAACCGATAAGCAAAGGAAGGAGCTAGGTCGTCGGTTGGGATTGGAGCCTTTGCAAATCAAGTTTTGGTTCCAAAATAAACGCACCCAAGTGAAGGTATAATAACAATTTGTTTATTTTATTTTATTACTAATCACATGTAAACCTGGGTTTGATTACAGACTCACAATGAGCGTGAAGAGAACGAAAATCTTCGGGCTGAAGCTCAAATGCTTCGGGCCGAGAATGCCAGGTTGAGACAAGAATTAGGCGACTTCACTTGCCGACACTGCAATGGCCCGCTCACCATCGGAGAAGTGCCGTTTGATGTAAATGAGGCCCGGATGGAATATGCAAGACTCAAGGCTGAGGTATATATATATATATATATATATATACCAACTCAAATAAAATAAAATAAAAATTCTTTTTCTTTCAATTCTTCAGCTTTTCACCTTTTTTTCCACAGCTTGATCGCGTTTCTTCGATCACTGCGAAGTATTTAGGGGAGCCGCCATTCGCGACCTTCAACGTTTGCTCGCCTCCAGCGACGCCCGGTGCGGGCAGTCAGCATTTCGGAGCTCCAACGTCGGCAGGGCAGTCAGCCGCCGACAACGTCGGAGAGGCGTATGGAAGCGGCGGAGAGACTCCAAGAAGCATGAACTGCCCTGGTGGTGAAGCTCACAAGTCAGTTGTAACCGAACTTGCGGCGGCGGCCATGGAGGAGTTACTTGAGATGGCAAGAATGAAGGAGCCGCTGTGGGTGCCCAGCATCGACGGCACCACTACTTTGCTAGACCAGGACGAGTATTTCCGGCTATTTTCCAGAGGCTTTTCACCAAAACCTCAAGGCTATAAGACCGAGGCTTCCCGGGAAACTGAAATCGTGATTATAAATCACTTGCATCTTGTTGAGACTCTCATGAATGTGGTAAGTATGTAAATTTTTATTGGTTTGTAAATTTGTATACCCTCAGGTTTGTAAATTTTTATTGGTTGATAATCACCAGAGTCATTGGGCGGCCATGTTTTCTAGCATTGTGTCGAGAGCTGTCACTGTGGACGTTGTATCAACGGGACATCAGGCAGGAAGCTATGACGGAGCTTTGCTACTGGTAAAATACAGACATCATATATATATATATATATATCCACATTTCCTATATTAATTGCATTTCAAACAAGCTAAGGAAATTAATCATGGATTCCTAATTGTTTCTTATTTCCCAGATTTACGCTGAATTTCAAGTGCCAACTCCACACGTTCCGACTCGCTACTGTTACTTCATCAGATACTGTAAAAACTTATTGGAAGGAACATGGGCGGTGGTCGATGTTTCCTTGGACCACGTTAATCTGGTAGGCTGGTGCCGGAAAAGGCCATCGGGTTGCATAATTAAAGAAGTCCCCAATGGCTACACAAAGGTAACGTAGCTAAGTTAATATACTATAATTAATATATACTATATATATCCTGCAAGCTAAGGGTCATAAAGTAGGTTTATTCAATGCACACCTATATATATATATAGAGGATATATAATATTATTTCCAAGATTTTGCTATAGGTGACTTGGGTGGAGCATGTAGAAATAGAGGATAATGAAGTGCACAGTAACATTTACAAGCCCCTGATTGATTCTTGCATTGTGTTTGGAGCTAAACGTTGGGTGGCGACTTTGGATCGGCAGTGTGAACGTATGGCCTGCACAATGGCTACAAACATCCCAACTTCTGATAATCTGGGTAATTGCATGCATGCACCCAAGATCGACTTTCTTAGCTTCAAGATGATGGATATGATGATGATAATGATAATTATTATGAATTTATTTTGTTTACGTACTGTAACAGCAATAGCATCTCCACAAAGCAGAAAGAGCATCTTGAAGCTAGCGGAAAGAATGGTGATTAGCTTCTGCTCGGGTGTAAGCTCCTCCACTGTAGCCCATGAGTGGACGGTGTTGTCGGGAACCGGGTCCGATGATGTCAGAATCATGATCAGGAAAAGCGTGGATGATCCCGGCAGACCCTCCGGCCTCGTTCTCAGTGCTTCCACTTCCTTCTGGCTTCCCACCCAACCCAAAAGAGTTTTTGATTTCCTCCGTAGCGAACACTCTCGGAGCGAGGTATACGTATATCTACCTACAATTTATCCATCATTTTCAATTCTATTTCTGTTTTAAATAATAGAACCTAATCATTTATTATTTTCAGTGGGACATTCTTTCAAATTCGGGCACTGTCACGGAAATGGCACACATTGCGAACGGCAGGGAAACTGGGAACTGCGTCTCATTACTGAGAGTGAATGTAAGTCCATTATTAATTACTTAGATTCATTCTGATCTATATATATATGATGGAAAAAATTAATCTTTTTTTGTTTGGTCAGAGTGCGGATTGGAATCAGAGCAACATGCTGATACTGCAAGAAAGCAGCACAGATCCTACAGCTTCCTTCGTTATTTACGCTCCGGTTGATATTGTGGCGATGAACGGCATCATGGGCGGCGGAGATCCGGACTATGTGGGCCTCCTGCCGTCGGGATTTGCAATTCTCCCAGACGGAGCGCTTGCTGGTTCTCTGCTCACGATTTCGTTTCAGATATTGGTTGATTCAGTGCCGACTGCAAGGCTTTCTGTGGGATCGGTTGCGACGGTGAACGAGCTCATACATTGCACGGCCGAGAGGATCAAAGCCTCTCTTTCTGACGTGCTAGGGACTTATTGTTAGATAATAATTTAATATTGAGAGTTGTATTAATGCAATATGGTCCAGACGATGCTCGGTTAAATACTAAATAGAGTAGCGTCACAAGAGGACTAGTAGCAACAAAACTTTTAAAGTATTCCTTCCCAATAAACTTCTTAAGTCATGTGTTCTCATGTTTGAAGTAAAATCGTTTGGGAGATCTATAAAATTGTAGATTCACTTATATGGATAAGACTTTAAATCAATGAACTAAATCAACGGACTAAACGTGCTTAATTACATAAAATCAAATTTCTGAGAAACAGACTGAATCAATAATATGCTATATCCAATCTTAATACTTATGGCTTTCAGTGTAAGGAGCACATCAATAATATGCTTGTTGATTTGGAAAGCTTAGCTTGGTGATTGCAGGAAGGAAGAGAGATGGAAGAATTAAACAAGTCAAGAGCGCACCTTAGCTTGGTTCCAAGGTTCGTGAATTGACTTCTTCATAGGGCAGTTGGAAGGAGAAAATTAAAAGAGACGTTATGCTTTATATAGAATATATATATATATATATATATATAGGATCTTTGCCTATTTTTGGGTTTTATATGTTAAGACTCTTGTAATGCAATTTGGGATTATTTTCTTTATTATTATTATTTTTTTGTGTTATTTGGTGTGTTTGATTTTTTACTGTTGAATTGAATCAATATAAATAGTTTGAACTACTTCTTGTTGTGTGTGGATTTTTTTTTTTCAATCTATATGTTTCCTTTTTTCTCTCCTGCCTTCGCATTTCTTTGTGCCCAGCGACGCATAGTAGCTAATGAACACTTAAACAGTATTTGTAATACATGACACTAAAGGAGCACGTGCATTGCACAGTATCTGTAATACATGACACTAAAAGAGCACGTCCATTGCACAGTACCTGTAATACATGACACTAAAGGAGCACGTCCATTGCACAGTACCTGTAATACATGACACTAAAGGAGCACGTGCATTGCACAGTACCTGTAATACATGACACTAAAGGAGCACGTCCATTGCACAGTACCTGCAATACATGACACTAAAAGAGCACGTCCATTGCACAGTACCTGTAATACATGACACTAAAAGAGCACATCCATTGCACAGTACCAGTAATACATGACACTAAAGGAGCACGTCCATTGCACATCACCTAGCAAGTATGTTCAAAGCACAATGCCCAATAGGCACGTGTAATGCACGACAATAGCACATGTAACACACGGTGCTCGGTTGACTTATTTATACAAAATGACAAAATGTATTAGTTTTTTAAAATTATTAGCGATAATCCAATTTCATGATAGACATATTAATAACATAGTTATTGCATGAACTATGTTTTTTTTTTTTTTTTTTTTTTCCTTTCAAAAAAAAAAAAAGAAATATATATATATATATATATATATATATTCTATATATATATATATATATATATATATATATATATATATATATATATATGTTACAGAGTATTATTTTATGGGTTATGTTTTTTAATTTCATTTTTCACACATATTAGTTTCATTTGACAATATAAATTATTACACGAACTCTGTTTTTTAGTTTCATTTTTTCACACACTAGTTTCATTACAACAACATTAATTAAAGTATCATTTTAATTCTACTATAATTTCATTTGACAATATACATATTTGTAAGGTATATGACATTGGATCACGGTAACAACAACAAAAAAAAACAAAACATTGTATCAGACGGGTGAGGGCTTAGGATTGAACCCTTCAGAAATAGTGAATGAGATAAATTACAAAGGACAATACTAGATGCTTATGTATTACCGCTCACAAACTTATCACCCCCTGATGGGGCAAGTTCTAATAGGTTAATATTAAAAAAGAAAAACTATTAAAACTTGCCATAAGAAATATAGAAAGTTTGTGAGTGGTTTTGTAAGGACAAAATGTGCCTTAATAGCCTAGAGGCCCCAAGTATTTGTATTTTATATTTTATTGGTGGGCTTCATTTTCTTTTTTTAATTTATTTACTTCTTTTGCCATTTCTAATTTCAAAATTTTAAATATATTTAATAATAAGTATTTTTTTTTAGTACAATAAAATATTATTCAGTTCCCACATAATTCAAAATCTTGGTGTATTATGAGGTGTTTGGTAAATATCTATTAGCTGATTGAGTTAGTGGGTTTAACTAGTTGATAGCATTAGCTGATTGTAAACATATATTTGGTAAATTAGTTGTTAGTTGATTAATTACATGCAAAATAACTTTCTTAAAAAGATGTTCAAAAAAGTTGCTTTGAGCAGCTTTTTTATTTTAACATTTTGAAACAATAAACTGTTACAAAAAGCTAATTAATCAAATACTTATTTGATTGTTTAACCAAGTCAAACAACTACTTGTAGTCAAATAAATCAAAATTGACAGATAAACTAACTATGTTAACAAATAGACCTATATATTTATATTAATTATACAAGTTCAAAAGTTAAGCAAGTGGGAGAATGGAGTTTCTGCAACTAGGAAGTAGCACCATTTTGGCATTTAGCCATGGTCTCATTCATCCGGTGAGGATGAAATTTCTGTCATATAGTCTTCAACCACTTAATTTGTCCAGCTAAATTCTTTATCAGCTCCCCTTTTTCACAAATCTGCAAAACCTTTGAATTATATTGCCTCATCGATCTGTCACTGCTTTGCCTGCAAAAGAATCATATACAAATTAACATTTTGGCATTGGTTCCTGCAGACTCAAAAGCAAACCAAAACTTGTCCAATGATGGGTGTTAATTATATATAGTTACCTGTGAGTAGAGGAAAGTTCCCAAAATGGCAATGGCAGCCCCAAGGGCATTGACAGGTTGAATAGGGGTGTGGAAGATGATGATGGAGGATACTATAACTGATATTCTCTTCATGGTGTTGCCAATGCTGAATGTCAGTGGGGATATCTCATTTAGAGACATGTATGACACCTGGTTGTAGAGGTGATAGAACACACTTTGAGCCACCACCCACCTGATTGTCACAGATTCACGAATTAAAAACATTTTTTCTATGCTTACTATACAATTTAATGATGTATTTCGTCTCGACTCAAATTTAACGCTTACCATACAAAGTTAGGTCCGATTTGAGAGACGGCCCTTTGCCATCCGAGGGCCCACACCTGTGGGCCCTCCACAGCAATTGCAAAGGGGGTGAGAATCAAAAGAGACAGCATGGAAAGACAGGCATAGTAATTCATCCCTCCAACAGACCTCCCCTTCATCCCTTGCTTTGAGAATATGTTTCTGAACACAAATGCCACGTTTGATACCATTGCCCCCATAAACCCTATACACCATTTTGAACCAAGAATTATACACATAAAACCTTGAAGTGATAAGGGGAGGTGGGGCACTAATTTATTAAAAACCGCATGTCCTTCCTTCATACCAGTTAAATTGAAATTGAGCTCAGTGACCGCAGCCAGTGAACACCCACCAATGATTGGGAGAAGTGATAAGTAAACTGGCAATGGGAAAGTTTCACCAAGAAAAAAACTTGAGACCAAAACACTCAAAGCCGGCTCTCCACTCTTGATTATGTGAGTGAAGGAAACCGCAACCTTTGACATGCTCACTGTTGCTGCCACATGCCCTATTGTGTGTGCCACCGCAACCTATAAACATTAAACTTCCAATGTTATTGCTCAAAACATTCTGAAACAAATCTAGGCAACGACACATGATCGAACCTGTTAGCTCCGCGTGAGTGTTGAGCTATTAATGTGCAATCCAACCATCAACTTAGGCTTTTAGTTGAGATGAAGCACATGTTTCAATTTGATATCAGAGTCAGACCAAAGGTCATGGGTTTCGCTTTTTTGGGCTGAACATTATGAGAAAATCATCAAAGAAACGCTGGATACTTACCGGAAACAAGGCCTTCCAGAAATGAAGGTCAGTTTTTGGTGTCTCTGCAACTCTGGTAGCCCAAGAGACAAGCATCATGAGAGAGCCAGCAGCCAGAGAAAGAGTGGAGGTGAGCCAAGGGAACGGGAAGGCATTCAATACCTTCTTGTTGTAGATATTGAACACCACATTCAGAGCCCACCAGGTTGCAAAGTAGACTCCAATCTTCATTTTCTGGGCAGTCTCGGCCTGAGCTTCTCGATCAAGCTCAATGCCGATTGGTATGGACTGGGGACGGCTAGCTTCGTATGCGTTGCATTGGCTTAAAGGGTCCCGAGTTTTCGAATCTTTGGGCTCAATAATGCGGCCGAAACCGCTCACTGCATAGATGTACAGCTGTTTCTTGGACATCACATTGGCTTTCTGGTAAGATTTTCTTGAGCCAATTTTCTTGGGGAAGAATGGTGCAGTTTGAGGCTTGGTAGCCCCGAAGCTTTGCTTCAAGGGATCAAAAGCTGTGGAAATTGCATAAGATTGGCCAGCAGAGAAGGCCATTTCTTTCCCTAAAATGAAATTTAATCTAATACTTTTACGTCTGTTACACTACTAAAGATATTGATACTTTGAGGTGTGGAGAAATATGGGTTTACATATGCTGGTATTTATAGTAATCCTTCAAGTCTAGTGATGGCCCCTAAAAGTTGTGAAGGCCACTTGCTCAATTGCTTGAAAATTCTATAATTAAACATTTTGAAGCTTTTGGTTCAAACATGGGAATCACAATCCTAATTGAAATCAAATATTTACTAATTGGAATGAGTTTTAGTGAAAATAGCTTTTTTAATTTATTTAGCAATAAACAAAATCTACAATGCCAAGCACCTGATGACATGTAGTGACATCTCCCATGTGGGAGGTTATGAGATTGAGCATCTGAACAGATCTTTTACACCGAATACAACCATATATGCTTTTGATTTATATAGTAATATCAACTCTTATCTCAATATTAAGTACAATCTAAAAAAAAAATGCATAATTGTACCTGGTATAAAAAAACATCGGTGTTTATCAATACCTTAAAATTGTCTTAATGCATTGTAAAGGGTATTTTACCTAACGAAATACTCCGTAATAGAATAAGGGTATATTTAAAAGGTTAGAAATTGTCAAGCAGCTTCTGCTCAGATAATACCTCTGTGACTTCTCTTGGGGGAAGGTTACAGAATCGAACCCCGGTAGATAGAGAAAGTATAGAACATATATTGTTTTGTAATAGAGTCAATAGTATTCAAAAAAAAAAAAAAAAGGTTAAAAATTAAACCTATAACATTTGATTATAAGGTCTTGAATGATATTTTTTTTTTTTTTACTATGATATTACTCTCAGTACAAATTAAATATCAATCTTTGATATTTAGGGCTAGAAAAAATTGAGCGTATGGGAATAGAATTGTCAACATTAAACAAATAGGGAACGTTCAAAACGCACGAGTAAATAATTGAATTATGTAGCAGTAGACCGGTGAGGGAATTGCATGAGGATCGTTGGAATCCCTATCAGCCTCTAAATAATTGAACCCAAAGCTCTACCGCTCGTAGATGTCGTTTTCCATTTTTTCAAGTTTGGTGCAATGCGAATGCCCATTCCAACGCCCCTACCCAATTATTGTATTTATTCTACTCTTCCTTCATCTTTTTTCCCTTCTCCTTCCTCCATTTTGTCTCAAGTTGAAGATCTTTCCAAACGTTAGCTGGCTCTCACATTTCAAACGACTAATTGATAATTGTCTAAAACTAATGCTTTTTCCTTGTACATTTTGATATTTGTGCATGTTACTCATTATATATATTATGGAATCATTTTGATCACTTATAAATTTATTGCGTGTGTTAGGGCTTAGGACAGTTAGGTGATTTGACAAAGAAATGAGGTTTTGAAGCATTCTACGAAGTATTTGATCAAGTTTTTGGTGTCACCTTAACACGAAGACACTTTTGGATGATCAAAGTAATGATGTTTAGAGTTTTGCACGTTTTGAGATGGACCATGGCGTGACCTGCGGCTGAGAAGACCATCAAAGTGACCACCGACGCAATCGAAGGCTTACCCGGCTAGTCGCGGCGTGCCCATGCCCGTGGTTACCAGGCAGAATTCACTGCCAGGTGGCTACGGGTGTGGCCACGCCCGTGGCCAGCCCCCTATTCTTTTTATCAGCGCGATTTGGCCTTTTTAAAAGGGGACTTTTTTCACCCCAAAAAATGATCTTTGATTTTTTTTTTCCCACTTCATAGCTAGCGCTAACTTTAAAATAGCTTAGATAGGTGTAGATTTGTTGTTCATTTCCATTTTCCAAGCTCAAGAACATTAGAACTCTTGGATTTCAGGCCATTAATAGAGAAGTTTTCTTATTCCTCTTTTTCCTTTGATTTCCATTTATGCTTTCAATTACTCCTTTAATATTGTTTATATATTGTTATATTATGAGTAGCTAAGTGTTTTGGGAGAATTTGGTTTGATTTCTTGCTAATATGACTTATATTGCATAAGGGTGTTTATTTGGGAGTTCTAGGGTTGTTGTGTGAAAAGGGTATGTTGAAAAATTTGTGTATGATTGTTGGATCCCAATTATATGTTTAACTTGGGGTGTGTTTGTTGCTACGGGGGTAGAGCTTATACACTAGCCACATATTTACACACTTGAAGCCCAATACGAGAGTATTTCGGGTATTAAGGAGAATTTATGATTTGTGTTCTTGAATGGGCAACCTTGGGTTGAATTGCTACAAGAGTGGAGTTCAATGTAAGGTTGCGAGTCCAAATAGCTACGAGAGTGGTTTTGGACACTTTTATGCATCTCACTTACCCTATGCCTTGATTTAATTTAATTTCCTAATCTTTAGTACAATATTTGGCATCTTAGCTGGAATCAACCAAATCCCGGTCCTTTGTTTTACTTGTCTTATTTGTTATTAGCTTAATCATATCAAACCAACTCCTTATTGATAGGTTTAGCTTCTAAAAGAATAGTTCTAGCTTGTGTTTAGCTCCACTTTGCATCAATTCCTAACAATATTACAAGAGTAACGATATCTAAACTCTATACTGTGATACTGTGCAAGTTGGTCTACCGTACATGGCTCCAAATTTTAGAGGTGTCCCAAATTTTAGAAGCCCAATATTTCACTTTTACCTAGTTAGTTTACAAATAAAAATTAAAAGTTTTCAATTAAAATTAAAAGGCTCCATGAAGAAATGTTAGGAACATATGTTTATTATATTTTAATTTTGAGGTCTAAGGTTCAAAACTTGTGCACACTATTATTATTGTTATAATTGTAATTTATTCCATAATACTACTACTACTACTATTATTATTATTATTATTATTATTATTATTATTATTATTATTATTATTATTATTATTTATTCCATAATATGTTTTTTGGCTTTTTCTTTACGTACAGTAACATTTTACCACCTTATTATTATTATTATTATTATTATTATTATTATTATTATTATTATTATTATTATTATTATTATTATTATTATTATTACTCGTGCGTTGCACGGAATAAATTTGTTATAATCTTTAAGAATATTTTGATCAATATACATATATAAATTATAACAACGAATATTATATAGTGCAGTTGATGAAATGGGTTGTATCGATTATGTTTTTTTTTTTTATATTATCCTTGTTTGAATTCGATCAAATAATTGCCCAATTATCTGTGCAGTGCGCGTGCAATGCACGGATAAATTTTTTTTATTATATATTTAGATAATAAAATTGTTACTATTTCTTCAATCCTTTCAAAATTTGTTAAATATTCATTCAAATACGTGTGAATATGTATCAAAGCAGAACACTACTGAAATTTTTCGTATAAGCAGAAACAGACATGTGGGACCGTTTCTACATTAGAGAGAAACTATCTCCCCGAATATGCTTTTCCTTGGTTGATATTCGATTAAAATAGTATATATTAGAAAAAATTACGGTATTAGTTTTAAAGATTTTGATTTTGGTAGGGCCTTATTTATTTACCCGAACAGGGTCACAAAAATCTAAAACCGGCATTGCTCATAATGTACATAATTTCATAATACAAGACAAAAAAGTCATAACACAAAAAATAAACACATAAACCGTAGTCCATAGTGCAGTGTGAATCCTAGCCCATGGTATAATAATTGCGGATAGTTATGCTGTGCATCCGTATGCACCATGCATGGTGCATACGGATGCAAAAACGACGTCGTTTTATTAAAAAACGCGCATCTCCCCTTTAAAAAAAATTCAGGTTCGATTCCCAGCAACAACATTATATTGTTCATTCATTTTGAAATTTTAGTTCATAGATTATGGAATTATAGTTTATTGATTATGGAATTATAGTTCATCGATTATGGAATTGTAGTTCATCGATTCTGAAATTTTAGTTTTTAGATTATGGAATTTTAGTTCATTCATTCTGGAATTTTTAGTTCATAGATTAGATTCTAGAATTATAGTTCATCGATTATGGAATTATAGTTCATATGTTGTTGCTGGGAATCGAACATGATTTTTTTTTTTTTAAGGGGAGACGCACGTTTTATTAAAACGACGTCGTTTTTGCATCCGTATGCACCATGCACAGCATAATTTGCCAATAATTGCTATAATCTAGACTTGGCCAAGACTATTTTGTCTTTTCTTTTGATGGACTAGATTTTTGTTTTGAACGGTCTGGTTTATTAAATGAATAGTAAAATAATTACATATATATATATATCAATTAGTAGCATTAATATCAATCGTTATACTGTTGACCAAGATCCACCATGAGACATACAATTAAAATATTATATACATTCAAATGTACGTAATCTATTAACTAAAATTACATAATATGTTAATTATAAGTATGTAATCTAGATCATGGTCCATAATACGTATAATAGGACTCGACCCACAATGTAATTTGTGCATTAATATCAAAATCAAGCAGTGTTTCTTTCATACGATAATAACATTAAATCAATTCATGCCCAAGTAACACTAACTTTAAAATAAGTCGTGTTCCTTTCATACGATATAAGAACATCATTAAATCAATTCATGTAATACTAACATATATACTTGTCGTTATATCATATATGATCAAACGATCTAACAAATTGTGGCTCCAAATTGTGCCAAATGCATGCATCGGTGGTCCATATCAAACTGTTTTAAGCTCAATAATTTAGCCCGTTCATGTCATATTCTTGATCATGTGACCAACCATGGGATCGTGTAGGGACCGTTTGGAAGTTTATTAACTCTCAGGTGACTCCAACACCACCCCACATTTACTCATGGCTCACGTTAATCGACCAGATTTTCTGTGCAACTATGCAGAACACATAAATATCTCAGAAAAAATCATAACTAAAGACAGATACTTGTTTGTTAGCATTGCAACACAATTGTCGAAGCTAGCTCAGTCATTCTAACCGGTAAAAAATCACAAAAAGGTAAACCATTGACTAGCTCAAATCAAGAATTACTTCTCAAAAGTGACTCTCTAGTCTCTATACAACTTGCTAGCGGTAAAGACCAGTTCACAACTACCCCACAGATCTTTTGAGGTTTGTATGACTACAATTGCGAGGGGCTGAGAAAACGAGTCCATTTACTAACTGAAATTTTCTTTCATAAAAATGGGAGAAAAGCAAAAAGGAATCTTTAATTTAAAAAATATAAACTTTTAAAATTGAAGTTAACACAACCCAAAATAATAATAATAATAATAATAATAATAATAATTAGCTTGGCAAAGAAAACGAGTCCATTTACTAACTGAAATTTTTTTTCATAAAAATGGGAGAAAAGCAAAAAGGAATCTTTAATTTAAAAAATATAAACTTTTAAAATTGAAGTTAACACAACCCAAAATAATAATAATAATAATTAGCTTGGCAAAATATCAGTTACAGAGCACACTACATCATCTTAATTATTCTGAATGGATGCAGGGCAGAGTTTGGCCAACTGAACTACAAAAGACAAAGAAGTTATGTGTATCAACTTCATACTAATAGCAGTAACTAAACACATTCTGGTGCCTTAAATTCAAAAGCATACTAAATCATCTGCTGCTGGTAATCAGTTGAAGTCCGGATAAACCGAAAAAACGAATGCAAAACCAGAAAGAGGAGTTTCAGGAATTAATGTGAGAGAATGCAAAATTCTTAGGTCATCTTCTGAGCTCGGAAATTCAAGCCTTCTTTTTCCTGTTTGATGCAGGTCTTTTGCCAATCGACGTGCCCTTGCCAGAATGAGCTAGTAGACCACGTAACATTGCTAAAACAGCAAACCCAAAGAATGGGTAGTACATCATCAGCAACTTCTCTGATGCTCTCTTGGACAGCGTCTGTTCTGTAAGGATGGCAACCTGAAATTGGTAGCATTAGTCACATAGACAAGCAAATTGTAAATATTGAGCTTATTTGGCTCGGCCTGAGTTTCTTGAAAAAAAGAGGCATTTTTAAAAGGTCTCGCATTTGGTGCTGCTTGAGAAAGAAGTTTATTCATCTCATCTAGCCTTGAAAGCCTTTGTGTGTGTTTGTTTGTCCCAAATAAGCCCCAATATAAACATATTAGTTTCTTTGTAATTATACCCACAACTCTTCTTCCACCTCATGAATCAGATGCATACGTTTTGATTTAATAGAAATGACTGTTCGCTTCTCATGAATGCAAATGCCAAATGGTACTGTCAACCTCACACATCTTTAGCATTTAAGCTTACGAAGACAATGAGAATATGATTTTCTCTTGTTAGAACACCTCAATGAAAGAACTTAGTCATAGAATAAATCGCTAATTGACAATCTATTTTAAGTCTTGGATATATTGTTTCTTTGCAAGGACAAATAACTTGAAAACAAAAGACTCCATTAAGAGGGAGTTATAGCTAAATTCCCAGAGAAATGTGCAAACAAATACTACTACGTACATTTTATACCCAAATCTAGGGAATTATAAACTTTTTCTTGTGAATGACTATAAACTAATTCAAAAAAAGCAACCATCCAACCCATACAATAATCAATCTGTCCTTCAATTAAAGAGTACATACAGCACATTATAAGAAGATTCATGCAAAAAGTATCGTTCAGCATGATTCCACAAAAAGACTGAGCATCATCAGTTAAGTCTGTAGATAATCACAACTCACAAGATGGATATACTCCCATGCAAGGAATAGTCCAATTTTCTTTGCAAAAAAAAAAGTTCTTTGAGCAAGGACCTCTTGTCCAAAAGCTAATCTAGGACCATATCTCTAGCAGTGTCATTGTTAGTTTGCCAAAAAGGGCATCTTTCGCTGGGGCTCCAATTAAGAAAGAACTAATGCAGGTTAAATGAAACATCAAAAACTCAGATTAGAATGAGATTGTAGTTAGCACTTCATAAGTGAGAATACCAAATCAGCCACAGAATTGCCATTGAGAATCTGGGATATCTTTCAGTTTTCATAACAATTCTTAAGCCTAACTAAGCTTCATTTTGGTAGAAAACGAAAAAAGGAAAAAAAAAAATTTTGAATCCTCATTACTAATGTAAAGGATCTTCCTATTTCATTGATTTTTTTTCCTTTCTCATTGCAATTAAAGTTTTGAATTTGGATAAGGGGATTAGACACTTAGTTTTACATGCAAATAAAAATTGCAATGTCCAATTCCTAAACATATATTGATCCAATTCTACGATTCAAACACCTTCAAATGACTCCAATGAAATACAACAATTTACTTCCGTTTACCAATCAAATTATATTATGAATGCCGGAAAAACTGCGGAAACTGTCAATGAGATTCTAACATTTCAAAAGCAAACAAAGAACGCAAAAGAAACATAAAGGGAAAGATTGATTTACCATGGAAGTGAGGGTGGAGGTCCCATAGAGCAAGCAGGTAGTGCTAACCCAGGATTTTCCCGCGGCAATCCCGTAGAGAGAGATGATAGAGAGAGGCCAGGCGAAGAGGAGCTCAAGCCAGATCAACCCAACAAAGAAATGTGGCTTCTCAGAAACCAAATAGTCGCCGTATTCTTTAGCGTACCATGCCTTGAGGTCCACCAAGGATGGGGGGTAGAGGTCTGGCGAAAGAACGCATTGGCCGTCAAAAAGCGGTGCCGCTAGGGCAATCAAGAGGAAGAAGATGAAGAGTGCGAAGTCTGTTAGCTTCAACAGAACTCCCATGTCGTTTTCCGGTGCCAAAAACAGAATATAATTTTTTGTTATAGGGGAAGGATGTTTCGCTTTCGGGAGGTGAAATGTGGATCTGGGGAGGAAGACAGTTCAACGTGGCGGATTCAGAATTATGGGTATTTGCATGTGCGCCCTTCTAGTCTTAGCTATTTCGGATACTGCCTCTCAATTTTGTACTTACTAGCTCCATGCCCTCATTGGACTACTTCAGTTGGTTATTGATCGATCAAAGGAAATGAAAAGTCTTGGTACACAAAATGAAGAGTCTTTGTGTACAAAGTGTACAGACAGGCAGAGAGACTGACGGAGGGACTCGCGATTTACTTCATCCAACGACAGGTAAAAGTGAGAACTGAAAAACTGAAAAACTGAAAAGACGACTCGCAATTTATCCCTTCCGCTCTTGGGTTGAAACGATCTATAACTCTAATTGCTTTAATTTTATGGGAGTTATGTACTCTTGTAATCGACATCACTATAATCATCGTTATTATTATTTTAAACTTCTCATATCACCATTTTGTCACTTTTAATTTTTCGTAAAGGTATAAATCTTTACAATCGTGTCACATATACAACCTAACAAAAAAACAGCAGTCTAGTCCAATTCACATTGTCTATCAACACCAAAATAATGTAAGATTTTCAAACACTTTTTTCACTACATGAAATCGCAATTTTACTGATTACCAGCAAATGTAACAAGAGTTTCTTTGTACATGGAGTTTAGAAGCTCTTTGCACTTCCTACACTGCATTGCAAATTGCATAAACTAAAATAAAAGGAAAACAACCCGTATCACTGAGTATTCAACATCAACAAATCCAGTGACCGGTTGACTGTAATTAAATTACTCTCCTGGGGAGGTAATTTCTTGGCTTTTCCTGTGTACAATTACAGTTAAACGAGACGAGTAAGTAGCGAGGAAATCTAGTAATCGATGATGGGTTCGCCAATGGTGAGGTTCCTCTGCAACGTCCATGGCAAGTTGAAGAGCTTTGCTGTTATGAACTTGAAGATCTTATTCACATTGATGTTGTAGGTTGCACTTGAAAAGAACACTGCTGCATTCAGTAGCTTAGCATAGGCTCTTGCCTGTTCATAAACAGCATATACATATATGTTTTAACCACAAGATTTTTGCTTTCAACAAGAATCTATAGATTCCTGGGATATTTTAGCTTATTTATAAAGACAAGAATTTTACCTCGCTGGCAATTGTCCATTGCAGATCTAGGGGCAGCTGGACGAAATCATCAAACTTGGTTCCAATCAGAACAGGAATTGCTGTCTGAAATGAGTGACAGAAACTCTTATGTCAGGCCATGTGCCCTTTAAGATTTCATCATTAAATAGTATATTGTTGCAGAAAAATCAATAGGAACAGTATATGTTTTAGACCTGATTCCATTTTCTGGCCTGCTGGTACCATCCAAGGACACTGATTACAGGATACAATTCATATAATTATCAGATAAATTTCTATGGAATCTGAATTCATATATTTACAGTATGATTTTATACCTGTTCAGGGTGCACCGACTGGTCAGATCAAACATGAACAACATTGCTACTGAATCTTTACATGCGGCCTGAATATGGTCCTGGGAACAAGAATCATCTCCTGCATTATCGTTTCTTGATGTCAGTAAAAGATTTTATCATATTCTCATTTTGACAAAAGAGAAAAACTCATAGTCACTATTCTGAGGGCGTGCTCTAAGTAAACCAATCCTATATTGTCCGGAATTCACCGGCTCAAGCTCAGACCAAGAAGACTAATAGCCCGCTCCATCTAGGAGTTGAAGTTATAAACTTATTATTACCAAGTCAATAGTTTGACAAACTTGGTTATCATACTCTCATTGTTACAGATATTGGATGCTGTTTTCCTGTGTAACATGTTAAAATCCTGAAGGGATACCTTCAACTTCCCAGATGCTGTAAGAGATTCGAGCTCCTCTGACATTGAGTGTTTTGTCCATCTGGTACAGACCTTTTGTCAAACACCCTTCCTGCGCTTTCTCTTTCCCTACATACTTGGTCTTCAATGTATAGCAAAATCAGAATCAGAGTTCAAAAGGAATTTAAAAACGAGAATTTTGGTTAGTACTGTAAAACTAACCAAAAAGCTGGTCTTGCCAGTTTGGTTGTCACCCAAAAGGCAAATCTTCAAGGACACCAAATCTGTTGAACAGCACGGCAGGGCTGAGTCGGAGGTGGAACGGCGGCCGTCGGCGGGCTGCGGTGGGGATTGAGCGGCGGATACAGGTATGGTGCGGGGCAATTGCCTGTATTTGATGGATTTGGTGATCCAAAAAGCAAGAAATTGGTACCAGAAGGAGGAGAGGTACTTGTGAAGAACGGAGAAGCGGCAGAGGATTTTTCGCTTCATTTTCAAATGAAACATTCTCCTATGGCAAGTAAACAGTTTTTGGGTCATCTTACGTTGCGCCATAGATGATGGAACCTAACTTGGCTAACTATAAAGTCCTATGTATTTATTATGGCGCTTCTCATTAAAAAAATTGAAATTCTTATTATTATTATTTTTTAATACTACTAACTCTATTACAATACAGTATTTATTCATAATTACTTTCTCAATCAATTGAAACACAAAGAGTCAATACATCCGCTGTGGCTCATCCCACAACCTCCCTTATAAGGGAGCAACTTAGTGCCAAAATTGAAATTCTTATTTTGTATCAGTCTTATTATATTGTATTTATAGTTTTATACAAAATAAGAATTTTAATTTTTAAATTATTAACATAAGTGTTATTGAGTAAGGAGTATTAATTTTTTATAATGTGACAATTTTAGTCTATCTTTTCGCGAATCACCTTATAAAAAATTAAAAAATTTATAATAAAGTAATATTACACGTACTCTCAATTTCTATTTCATGATTCATAAAAAATGACATAATTTTATTATTTTATATTAATAAAATTTTGACACGTGACAAGAGTTTCTGTTCATATACTTTCTTAACGCCTCCACTAAAACTCGAACTCACAACCTTCCAAATGAAAGTCCAATCCGGATATCATTAGACCATATAATCTTGGTCAAACTTATAATACTTATTACTTCAATACGCTATTTTCTCTTATTATATATTATTGTGGTGGTTGTTGATTCTTTTTCTTTCCACGGCTATGGCCTATGGACTAAGGAAATGTGTTAGACACGGTGTTGGATTACGCGTAATGACAATACATAGAAATTACTTACCAAGAGGGTTTTAATTATAAAACTGCAAGTAATTGATAGTACATATATAGTAATTACTCTTACTTACCAAGATAGTTTTTATTATTTAATCTGTCCATTTGGATTATCTCATTAAAAATAATAATAAATTAATAAAGATATAAGTATGTATAAATCTAAGGCAAGATATTTATATGAATATTATAAATAAATATAATGAAAGAGGGCAAGAAAAGATAAAGTCAGCATGTGCGGCCACCTAAGGTTGAAATCATGCAAACCATATATGCCAGCGGTCTGATGAGTGAAGAGAAATGATGCCACCGCACTTCTTATTTCAATCATCCTTCAATAATTTCAATACAAAATGTGTTTGTCTCAACCTTTAGTCACGTTCTGTCCCACTGCACAAAGAAACTAAGAGACACATACACCTTCTCCACGCCCTTCTGTTCTAATTATAACAATTCACAATTATTGACTGGTCCGGAAAACATTAGGCAAAGTTTTTTAAAAAACATGTATCCATGGGCCCCACACAAACCAGAATTCTATATTTGCACTGCATCTAGCAAAATGATACATTCTTGAAACATATAATGACTTTTATATTAATTGATGATTAACTTTTTTTTAAAACAATAGTTCTCAAACAACACGTGCACCATAGTCTCTTTTTTTATCGCGTAATGTGGAGATTGGAACATACCAAATTAAAGCATGTACTACATCTCAACTAAAAGTCTAAACTGATAGTTGGATTGCACATTAATGGTTATATGCTCAACAGAAAAACCATACAGATCATATATATTATAGCCACATATATTGCCATATAGGCATCCATGTATTTAAGAAATCAAGGTGTGGTTGAATGAGGAGAATGAAGATGATTCAAAACCCAAAGGTTTGCAAGAAGCTAAAAAGTTCAAAGCAATACACAGAGCTTGACAGTGGGCATCAAGATCAAGAATTTGATTTGAGGTTTTCTCACTTTCTTGGCTTTTAACATACAGGTCCCCCATGCCAGCATTCCAAAGCAATGAGAAAAGGATTTGAATTTCAAATTTAAAAAATCTTTTAACTCCCACCATCCTTCAAGGAGACCAGGAAAATAATAAAAACGATGATCCACTATTTTTCTTAGATCAATTAAAGCATGACACACCAGCAAAAAGTAACCCGTCAAATCCAATCATAGTGGTATGAATTTCATAGGACACAAGAAAGTGTGGTAGAGCAAGTAGCACAAATAAGTTCAGTTTCTATTGTATTCTATTTATTAAACACACAAGAAGTGTGGTAGAGCAAGTAGCACAAATAAGTTCAGTTTCTATTGTATTCTATTTATTAAACACACAAGAAATTCTAAGTTTATTACTATAATGAACTGCCCAAGCTTGCTGTTATATATACAAACTTCTATATATACATATTATATTATTAGATTATATCATGTTTAAGTGGGAAGTAGAGCAACAAAATTTCATAGTTAAGAAAGATTGTCCAGTCCCTTGGAGGGCTCTGCAGTTTTACCAGCTTCATTATTGACCTGAGTTTGGGAAGTCTCATGCTGAGTAAAAAAATTCTTGATGGCTTCTTCCTTTTCATCAATGAAGTCAAAGAAGCTGTAGACTGCCTGAGAACAGCGCGTGTTGGAGGGAGAAGATGGATCCATTTGCTTCCTTTTATACCGCATATACTGGAAAACAGCTCGGAACAAAAAGATGATGAGAGCAATGACAGTCACAGCACCACATAAAAGATAAAGTCCCCAGAAGCTGCTTAGATGGAGCTGATAAGGCTCTGCTTTTATTCCCCTCTCTGATGGACAACCAGAACCACAAAACCATTTCTTGTGGATGTTGTAAAGTTCCCCATTCTCAGCAAGTTTCAGTATTTCTGTTGACAAGTCCACAGCGATTGGAGAGCCTTTCTGGAAAACCTGCATTTTACAAAATAAGAACAGAATAAAGCTTGAAGAAAACATATCAAATAATGAGTAAATATGACATACAAAGCCCCATCCATTTCTTGCAAATTGCTGCCCGATGGTCCCAAAATCAGTCCGATTGGCCAGAAACAACTCTACATATGGGAGCTCATCTACAACAGCAGCCACCCCTCCTCTTGCTGTTGGCCCTTTCCGCAAAGCAGTCTCATAATCCTCCGGAGATCGTAGAGAAACAAGTCTTGAAGGGTGTATGTCGTAATTGTTTATCAAATAGGAATAAGCAAAAGATCCAACTTGATACCCAATGGGCCAATTGGTCGTAACCAAACTTTCCATTCCAGTGATGGTTGATGATGATAGCTGTTGGACTGTTAGTATTGATGTCAAACTTGCAGTGTAGCTTGATGTGATCACCAGGAGTAGAAATAGCCACACCACCATTACCATACGCCCAAGGGTGCTTACGGTATTTTCATCTGAAAAATTATCAGAAAAGTTGGAGCAGATTCAAAGTTCTTTCAAATGTCGCTAGCCACATATTGCATTAGTTACTTCAACTACTAAACATTTGAATGCCATCCAATTACAACAGATTAACTATCATGAAAAAAAAAAAAAAAAAAAAGTTACGTACTATTTGTTTTGAATAGAGTTGAGAAGCTGAACCTGCAAGAGCGAGCACATTGGTCAGAAACTAATTACTTGCTGGTTTGCAAAATGGCTAATAGAAATGTAAGAACATAAATCTGGAAAATGAAGAAAGTTATCCTTTAGTAATTCATAGGCTTACAGGAGCATGGTTATAAGTTGTCTCTTGGGAGGACCACGAAAATCATCATTGACACGATGCTCTAGTATCCAAATGACAACTGCAATGACCAGAAAAGATATTGCAGTTACACCCCACATTGCAGGTGTAAATGGTTTTAGGAATACCCAAGCACTTGATTTGAAACGGTTAACAGGGGCTACAATGACAAGACCAGTAGACACGTAAGGCTGAGTAAAATCAACCATCCTTGTCCTGTTGGTCACAATAGCAATGTCTCCAACTGCTGCATCATAAACCTGAAACCAGATTTCTAAAAGATGAAAGTGTCTCTTAAATTCTCTTAAGGTTGCTCCCCAAGATTGTCATAGATATATTGAATATGCAAAAATAGCAGCATTCAAAAAAGGAGCTCTTTTTTCTGAATAGGAAATAGTATCAATGTAATGGTCAAAGTCACTGAATAGGAAAACGGAAATCTAGTTGAAAGCCCAAAGGAGCATACTGATCTTTCTGATGAAATGCACATGCTATGCAGGTCCGTTTTAATATGGAGAGAAATCATGTATTTTACTTTTACTTACATCATCTGCAACCAGTTTAACAAGATCATCGTAATGTGGATTAGAATGACCATCACCAACAGCCTTAAATGTGAAATGAATATCATAAGGAAGTTTATTTCGTGCTGCCTTGAACACGTCAATGCAATAGCCCTCTATTTTGTGGCTATCGTTTAATTCTCTCACGAATTCAGTGAAAACAGTTCTCCTCGGAACTGCAATTTGATATGGTCTTTCAGCATTGGCAAGAACCCAACCACGTGGCCTTGAGGTTTGCCCGCCAGGCCAGGTAATATTCCCCAATTTTCTATCTGAACAAGACTGGGTTTTTCGCTTTAGGGACTTCACAGGGGAAACAGAGAGAGCAGACAAGTTTGACCAATAACCAACATGGTGAATCTCCCCTTGTGCAATGTTAATAACCTCATACCCACTGCCAATAAGGTTCCTGTCGCCATCAAAATTGATTTTTCCAGTTATGCCTGTGAAGTTGATGTCTGTCAAAATTTCGAGAAGACTTTCTCCCCCATCAAAGACTTTGAGATTGTTAAGCTGTGAGCTACTTTGTCCCATAGCATGCAAATCATTGCTGAAGGAAAAGCTAATGTTTATGCCCTCCCTAAGAAGCTTATCAATTGAATGCGCAACTGCCCATACAGTATCGTATGCATACATTCCATATGTAGTCAACTCCTCCTGTACTAAATCTTTCTGTTGCATTTTTCTCCAGCGAGACACAAAATCACTTTGTTTAGTTGATTTTGGAATGTATGGACGAAGCCCAACTACACCATCAAGAATCCTTAGAGAAGATTGGTTTTGCATAGAAAATGACTCTAAACTAGAAGAAAGCCAATCTGTCACAAGCCACACAAAATCCTCAGTCATCATATTCAGCTTCTGGACTAAACTAAAGAATCTTAGTTTTGGATCGGGATAGATGTGCACAATATAAACACGAGGGCCTAAATTTTTGGAACCGTTTAGCACCCGTGTTAAGTCACTGAGATCAAAGTTGACAGATAATGGAAGCTTAAAGTGGATCTTACACTGCCTCCTGGCAAGTTCATCACCTAAATAAGCTATTCCATTTCGCCCATAATCATCATCCACATATATAGCAATCGACTCTTTCCACCCATAAGAACAAATTATATCAGCTAAGGCAGTCATTTGGTAGGAATCACTCTGTGTCATCCGAACAAAATAAGGGAATTGGAAAGCAGAGAGAGTTGGATCACTTGCAGCAAATGAGACAAGAGGCACATGAAGATCATTAGCAATAAAAGATATCATATGAGCTATTGCTGAAGACTGTGGACCTATTATTGTCACCACTTCCTTCCCAATCAGCTGAAATGCTGCCAGACAAATTGGAGTTAAAGTTAGTCACCATGCGCTTTAAAGTAATATAATAGCATGGATATACACTGAAATTCAGTAACAGCTCCTAAATCTATCCCTTGGTAGAAATTGAATACTCCAATTTAGAATGTATTGACAACAAGAACTTCCTATGAAAAGAATTACAGTCAGGGACATACCCAGCCAAGTTGGTCAGACTATTAGCTTAGTAACCAAAAGGTGAAAAGGTTTCAAGTTCGACTTCTTGGTTTGAGCCAAACAACCTAAGCTGGTTTACCTCCTTGTGGTCCTTTGCCAGCTAAGATCACAAGGTGGGGTGTACCCAGTGCACACGCTCGGGTAGTGACTGCGGGTTTACTCGTTACTCAAAGAATTACAGTCTATGCATCTAAGAACATACAAGGTGGTGGGGGGGGGGGGGGGTGGGGGGGAGAAAAGGAATGAAAAAATGCAACAGTAAACACGACCATGACCTCTTTCATTAACTTGGTACATACAAGCTCCTAAATCTATCCCTTGGTAGAAATTGAATACTCCAATTTAGGATGTATTGACAACAAGAACTTCATATGAAAAGAATTATAGTCGGAAGCAACTCCAGCCAAGTTGGTCAGACTATTGGCTTAACAACCACAACCACAAGGTTTCAAGTTCGACTTCCAATGGGAGCGGCCTATTGGCCTTCTTGGTTTGAGTTAGTCAACTAGGGCAACCTAGGCTAATTTACCTCCTTGTGGTCCAACATGAAACACAACCTATACTCTTTAATTAACTTTAATGTCAACATCTGCAGATATACCACTACTACAAGAGTATAATTTTCTATATTGGAAAATTTTTCAATTTAAAGAGATGACCTCATGAACGGTCTGGAAAACACCTTGATCCCAAATCCCTACTTTTGGTTCCTTTTTAAAGAACTAACTATTAAAAAGCTGGAGCTATCAATTACTCCATATTAAACTGATAGCTCATGCCAAGAAGAACAGTAATCCATATACTAAAAAGACAATGAAAACAGTTATTGCAAGAATTTGCCCTTTTCATAACACTGAGTAAACCGCAGCGGCAATTATTTATCAATTACGGAGTACAAAACAGAGAGGAAATAAAAAGAGGTGAAAAGAGTTACTACCTCCAATGGAAGCCAAAAAGCCACTGCAATTGGAATCCACCGGAATCAAGTTGAGCTTAGTCCCTGGCAGAATACTGGGATCCCCGTTGATATCAGTGACTGCAATATCCATTGCAGCCTTTGCCGCCCTCCCAATGATTGAATTGAAAGTGAACACAGACCCAACATTCACAACCGCAGGCTTTTCACACTCCACAATTCCTATACTCGACACCAAACTCAGAGCTAGTGCCACCACCCCAAGAAGCCTCATTCTTGGAGCCTCAAAAAGGCAAAAACAACAAGAACTGGGATACGATGTTCTGCTCAAGAAACTATATATGGTTGTGGAATTTGAACGAAGTAGCATGGAAAGTTTCACGTGTGAAACGGTGCGAGAAACTACGCAGCCACCCACTTGATACACAAGTCTGAAATTGAGAAAAACATGGCGTCTGACCACAGTCAAGCAGCCCTATACTGTGGACTGGAGTCTGTAGTAGTAGCCTGTGAGAGAGGGAAAAATGATTGGTGCCTATAAGAGAAGAATTGTTGCCTTCTTTAAAGCTGAAAATCGTAACACAGTGTTGTGTAAGGAAAGAAAGTGACATGAGAATCTGATCCTGTTATTCTAGGGGGAAAGTATTTAGGATGAAGCTAAATGAAATTTTTGACAAAATAAAAATAATGTATTTAATGCAAAATTAATAATAAATTAAAGTATCATATTATGTACGGAGTAATATATAATATGGGTTTAATTAATAAATAACTTTTTTAATATCCTAAAATAAATAAGCTCAGTTGACAATGACCACTTATAAGAATATGTTCTGAAAACAAGTATGCTTTGAAATTTAATTCCGTTAAAGTATTTGATAAATTAGAATATATTCCATCGGCTCTTCCTTTTCCCACCGCTACTTTTTCTGATTCATCAAATCATAATATGACCCGACTTTTATAAGAGAGCTCTGTTGCCTGTCTCCTCATCCACGTGCTGCTCAATGCTTCTTTTTTTTTTCTCTTTTCTTTTTTCTTAAATTTCCCCTCTATAGCCTTTACCTCTCTGGAAGGCAAGATTGAGACAAAAATATACTCCTATAGTCCTATTAATCATACTGGGTAGGATCATTAGTAGAGACACCGACAAAGAGTAAACGTGAAGTGTGGACACGATAATGTCGCCAATATACCATTGAAAAACTAAAACAATTAAATAAAGTTTTTGTTCAGTAATGTAGCAGGTATGGGCAAGCACTAAATAATCAAAATAATGAAAATATATTTATTTATTAAATGGATATCTTTTGTTGGACGGGGCCACGGGGGTACATGAACAAATTCTATTCTAGTAAATTACGGAGTCTTATTATTTACTAATCCTCTTTTTGTTCTTATCATTAATGGTGTAAAAGTAGTACTACAGTTGATACAAAGTTCTACCTAATATATTCTTGATTACGTGGAGCTTTATCGGTTTAATGCACGGTTCGGCGGTTCATATAGTGATATGCTTAATTAAATTTCCTAAACGCAACACTGTACGAGAGCAACTTTTAGTTTGGGAAGTTGGAGAGATAAAGACATTTGCTTCAAGATTTGCCCAATGAAAGAGACCGAATCGCCCACAGGTGTAGGTCTAATGGTCCTGCAATAGAGCACTATGTGACTACGTGCCATCTTAGAACAAATTAGTCAAGATTCTCAACTATTTACAGATTTTATAAAACTAAAAGAAAATAAAACGAGAAGCATCAAGCAACAAGCATGTGCCAGCAAAGAATAAAGGAAGCAATTTACACCGTACACAATACTTAAGATTCTGTATTGATTGTTGAAGAACTGAACCATTAATCACAGAGGCACATAAAAGCTAAGAAACAGAAATACGAATTAAGTACTACACTGATTAACATGCAAACGGAATAGACTATATCATCAGGAATTAGTCTGAACTGTGAAACAACTGAAATACCAAATCCTACAGTAAAGGAAACTTTGTTGCAACAGACCTAACAGCTTGCTTCCTGCTCACAGTTATCTTTCACCTCAGAAGTCTGCTCAGATTCTCCAGACACTGTTGCTTCTGAGCTGCTGCTCTTCTACAACAGAGAAGCAGAGGATCATTCACGAAAATGTTTGCCGTTTGCGGGAAATCATAGCAAAAAGTAATGTAATAATGATATGAAATAAGGAAAATATCAGAAGTGATCAATTTCAAAGAGAATTACAGAGACATTTTTCTTGAACTCTTGCATAGCATCCCCGTACTCAGACTTCAGCTGTGATGCCTTTGCCGCATATGGAGCTTTCTCCTAACAGTAGAGTCCATATAGCAAAAGTGTGACAGATGTATCGAGCAATTTAAGTCAAATTTAAAAACAACAACTTAAATGATAATAACTCTAAAGCAGAAGATCAGAGCTCACAGAGTCAGACATTGCCTTCCATTTCTCACCACCCGCTTTCCCAACCTTAAATGAAATTAAACAGAAGATAATATATCAATTGAAGCTTTGGTTCAATTTTAAAATACAAAAACATAATAGTGATAATGCTAAAAATAATAATAGCATTATGATCGTATCATCCAAACATCTATGCAATTAGTATTAAGAATAACTTAAATGCAATGATTTAAGAAATCTCACAATGGCCATAGATTTGTTATCAGGAAAATTCTCCTTGTAATTCTTACGGAAATCACTCCTGTATATCATAAAATGATTGCAATAGCAGAAACAAAATCAAACAAATAGAAGGAAAAAAAAAACCTAAATATACTTAGATAGAGTGAAAATATTGAAGAACTATTAACAATATGGAATAACATAACAATATACATGAACAAGAGGAATGCAGTGAGAGGACGCTTCGGAGCTCCAGATTCCTTCTTCGCCCGCCCCTTCTTCGTTGCGTCCACATCAGCCTTGCGTTTCTTCGTCGAGCTTAACAAAAAAAACGAAGCAAATAGCAAATAGTGAGTATACACACTCAGCGAACAAAAACTGGATGAGGAGAGAGACGATATACTCAATGTCGAGCTTCTTCTTAGCAACGGAGGTAGCCTTGAGTCCCTTCATGGCGTCTTAGAGAGAATTTTGAAATTTTAGAGAGAGAATAATCTGAGTGAAGTTTGAAAAAATGAGATGAAAGTACTGTGCAGAGGCGAATGGTTAATTATTTATAGGTAAGGGGAAATTAAATTTAAGAGAGGAAATCAATAAATTGAAAATTGAAAAATTGCAAATACGTAGCCTTTTCAGTTGAGGCGGGAAAGTGGAAGGGTAGCGACTTTGTTATTGATATGGCGGTTAAGTGCCCATCAAGTTTAGAGAACGATAAAAAGGAACCGTCCAATTGGAAAATACAATTTGAATTAAATAATATAACTTATAGAGTGATACCCTTCTTGCAATTTATTTGTAAAATGACATTTCAATCCATGTAAATCATACCCATAATCTGATAAATCTCACCTCTCTCATTGCATCCCTTCTTCCCATCTCCATCTTCTTATCTCGCAACTGATTTTTTCATATTCAACCCAAAAAATAAAAATAAAAAAATACCAACAACAATGAGTTATCTTCATCTTCGTTGCCATCTTATTCTCGCCATTTTTTCTTGCCACTGTCTCTCGCCTCTGATTCTTGCCTCTTTCTCCACTGCTCCTTTTCGTGTCTGATTTGGTGTAGAATAAATGGGTAGGAATTTGGTTTACAAATGGACTGTGGGTTTCTTGATTGATCTCCACCGCTCCTCTTCGAGTCTGATTTGGTGGAGAAGAAATGGGTAGGGATTTGGTTCTCGAGTCTTGGCGATTTGATGTAGAAATGGGTAGATGGATTTTATTTACAAATGGAGTATTGGAGTGTGGATTTGTGTCAAATGGTTAATGGCTAATAATAATAATAATAATAATAATAATAATAATAATAATAAGAAGTTGGTGGCGGTTTCAGCTTATTATAATAATAATAATAATGATAATAATAATAATAATAAATTGTAAATGTAACTAAAGAATTAAAAAATTGTCACAATACATTTATAGGTCATTTTACATATAATCAACTAAAAATAAATAGTTAATTTAGCAAATACTTTTCTATAATCAGATAATATAATCAAGTGGTCAAATCAGCTAAAACAATCAGCTAATATAATCAGATGATCAAACCAGCTAAAACAATCAGCTATTAGTTATCAGTTAACTCAATTAACTATCAGCTAATTGCCAAATACCCCATTGTTTTTTTTTTTTTTAAATAAATAATGTAACTTATAGCATATATTGTTTTCTGACAAAAAAACAATAAATATTATTAAGTAAGAAGGGAAATGAGAAATCAAATAGTCTGGAGGCCGTCACACTACTCAGAACTATCCATTCGAGTTCCAACAGCGTTGGCGTGGACATGTGCTGGTTGGTTATTCTCCCTAGGATCAAAAATAACAAAGCAAAACTAATGAATTAATAATCAACATTTGCTTGTTTCATTCAGTACTCCGTATTAAATATCTCCGAAAAATATGCTGAAAACTGGGGGCTATGGAGTAATCCGGTGAGAGCAGGTTACCAGAAGAGTAGACAACAACCCATGCAGAATATGCAATCGCCAAGCAATGGATTTGCAGTTGCCACTTGCCAAATTTACATTTTCCCTTATCAAAACCGCAGGTACAAACGTACACTAAAAGACAATGCTCTGTATTTTATATTTTTATTATATAGTTTCTGTGAGCTAAGAATGACAGAGACGTTCAGGAAGTTGAAACTTGAAATCATGATTCCCAATTGAACTTAACAAATTTATTTTGAATACAGCCCGGAAGACTATATAACAGTGAAGTACAACACTAAACACTATTGGCTATTGCACATATCTGTTGACACAACATTAAACTTCCTCGAGTCTAAATTTCCTGCCCACATTCCTGACTCAAAATACACAACATCGCCAGATCTCATCTCAGCCGCAGCTAGTTTACCAGACACCTTTTAGTTCACTAATTAATCGGCAATCCCGCCAGGGAAAGAATTAATGCGAAGCAATAACTTCGTTTCGTGTATGCTCCTCTTTCAGGTCTTCGGCAAAAGGGGTTCCCTTTTTGCATCCCACTGATTCAATCTTTTCTTCGCTACTTCCACCTGCAGTTTCAATATAGATGTTACAATTTGCATTTGAACACGAAACTTTGATTCCCTGGATGACACAGAAGTTTAGTACAAAGGCATTATCGCTCAAGAAAGTAAATTGGTTGCGTTCCACCAGGGTTTTCCCTATTAAATCATTCTGGTCAATAAGCACTTGGGGGATAACAATATATATAAATGTTTATTTGAGTTGATTGCATATAATGACAACAATATAGGCCAGACACTCAGAAAGTGACAGGGTATCTTTTAAATAAACAAATTACTAGTTCCACTACTCCCAGTGATGGCTATCTTTTCTATATATATAATAGTGTATGACGTGAACGGGAATGGATGAGATAAGATGAACTCATACAATATTTCAATGTAAAATCAGGTTTACCTCTTTGACCCAATCCGTTCGAATTGTGACCCACAACAAAATGATGGTCTGCATCACTGTCCCACCAATCATTCCACACCA